GGCCTGCTTCCCCCTTCCCGTTATCTCTGCCCCCCGCCCCCCCCCCCCCATTTTCCAACACTGCTCACCTCTGCACCCCCTGCATCCTTCTTCCAGCACTGCTCACCTCTGCATCCCCTGCATCCTTCTTCCAACACTGCTCACCTCTGCACCCCCTGCATCCTTCTTCCAGTGCTGCATCTCCTGCAAGTCTTCTCATAGGCCGCTCAGTGGCTGGTTCTACACCCTTGCCATGGTTAGTGTCCCCTCATAGGCCGCTCAGTGGCTGGTTCTACACCCTTGCCATGGTTAGTGTCCCCTCATAGGCCGCTCAGTGGCTGGTTCTACACCCTTGCCATGGTTAGTGTCCCCTCATAGGCCGCTCAGTGGCTGGTTCTACACCCTTGCCATGGTTAGTGTCCCCTCATAGGCCGCTCAGTGGCTGGTTCTACACCCTTGCCATGGTTAGTGTCCCCTCATAGGCCGCTCAGTGGCTGGTTCTACACCCTTGCCATGGTTAGTGTCCCCTCATAGGCCGCTCAGTGGCTGGTTCTACACCCTTGCCATGGTTAGTGTCCCCTCATAGGCCGCTCAGTGGCTGGTTCTACACCCTTGCCATGGTTAGTGTCCCCTCATAGGCCGCTCAGTGGCTGGTTCTACACCCTTGCCATGGTTAGTGTCCCCTCATAGGCCGCTCAGTGGCTGGTTCTACACCCTTGCCATGGTTAGTGTCCCCTCATAGGCCGCTCAGTGGCTGGTTCTACACCCTTGCCATGGTTAGTGTCCCCTCATAGGCCGCTCAGTGGCTGGTTCTACACCCTTGCCATGGTTAGTGTCCCCTCATAGGCCGCTCAGTGGCTGGTTCTACACCCTTGCCATGGTTAGTGTCCCCTCATAGGCCGCTCAGTGGCTGGTTCTACACCCTTGCCATGGTTAGTGTCCCCTCATAGGCCGCTCAGTGGCTGGTTCTACACCCTTGCCATGGTTAGTGTCCCCTCATAGGCCGCTCAGTGGCTGGTTCTACACCCTTGCCATGGTTAGTGTCCCCTCATAGGCCGCTCAGTGGCTGGTTCTACACCCTTGCCATGGTTAGTGTCCCCTCATAGGCCGCTCAGTGGCTGGTTCTACACCCTTGCCATGGTTAGTGTCCCCTCATAGGCCGCTCAGTGGCTGGTTCTACACCCTTGCCATGGTTAGTGTCCCCTCATAGGCCGCTCAGTGGCTGGTTCTACACCCTTGCCATGGTTAGTGTCCCCTCATAGGCCGCTCAGTGGCTGGTTCTACACCCTTGCCATGGTTAGTGTCCCCTCATAGGCCGCTCAGTGGCTGGTTCTACACCCTTGCCATGGTTAGTGTCCCCTCATAGGCCGCTCAGTGGCTGGTTCTACACCCTTGCCATGGTTAGTGTCCCCTCATAGGCCGCTCAGTGGCTGGTTCTACACCCTTGCCATGGTTAGTGTCCCCTCATAGGCCGCTCAGTGGCTGGTTCTACACCCTTGCCATGGTTAGTGTCCCCTCATAGGCCGCTCAGTGGCTGGTTCTACACCCTTGCCATGGTTAGTGTCCCCTCATAGGCCGCTCAGTGGATGTTTCTACACCATTGCCATGGTTAGTGTCCCCTCAAAGGCCGCTCAGTGGGTGGTTCTACACCCTTGCCATGGTTAGTGTCCCCTCATAGGCCGCTCAGTGGATGGTTCTACGCCCTTGTCATGGTTAGTGTCCCCTCATAGGCCGCTCAGTGGATGGTTCTACGCCCTTGTCATGGTTAGTGTCCCCTCATAGGCCGCTCAGTGGATGGTTCTACGCCCTTGTCATGGTTAGTGTCCCCTCATAGGCCGCTCAGTGGATGGTTCTACGCCCTTGTCATGGTTAGTGTCCCCTCATAGGCCGCTCAGTGGATGGTTCTACGCCCTTGTCATGGTTAGTGTCCCCTCATAGGCCGCTCAGTGGATGGTTCTACGCCCTTGTCATGGTTAGTGTCCCCTCATAGGCCGCTCAGTGGATGGTTCTACGCCCTTGTCATGGTTAGTGTCCCCTCATAGGCCGCTCAGTGGATGGTTCTACGCCCTTGTCATGGTTAGTGTCCCCTCATAGGCCGCTCAGTGGATGGTTCTACGCCCTTGTCATGGTTAGTGTCCCCTCATAGGCCGCTCAGTGGATGGTTCTACGCCCTTGTCATGGTTAGTGTCCCCTCATAGGCCGCTCAGTGGATGGTTCTACGCCCTTGTCATGGTTAGTGTCCCCTCATAGGCCGCTCAGTGGATGGTTCTACGCCCTTGTCATGGTTAGTGTCCCCTCATAGGCCGCTCAGTGGATGGTTCTACGCCCTTGTCATGGTTAGTGTCCCCTCATAGGCCGCTCAGTGGATGGTTCTACGCCCTTGTCATGGTTAGTGTCCCCTCATAGGCCGCTCAGTGGATGGTTCTACGCCCTTGTCATGGTTAGTGTCCCCTCATAGGCCGCTCAGTGGATGGTTCTACGCCCTTGTCATGGTTAGTGTCCCCTCATAGGCCGCTCAGTGGATGGTTCTACGCCCTTGTCATGGTTAGTGTCCCCTCATAGGCCGCTCAGTGGATGGTTCTACGCCCTTGTCATGGTTAGTGTCCCCTCATAGGCCGCTCAGTGGATGGTTCTACGCCCTTGTCATGGTTAGTGTCCCCTCATAGGCCGCTCAGTGGATGGTTCTACGCCCTTGTCATGGTTAGTGTCCCCTCATAGGCCGCTCAGTGGATGGTTCTACGCCCTTGTCATGGTTAGTGTCCCCTCATAGGCCGCTCAGTGGATGGTTCTACGCCCTTGTCATGGTTAGTGTCCCCTCATAGGCCGCTCAGTGGATGGTTCTACGCCCTTGTCATGGTTAGTGTCCCCTCATAGGCCGCTCAGTGGATGGTTC